CAGAAGGATCGGGTATCACCAGCCAAAAAAACAACAGCAAGCACGTTTTTTTTTTTCCTTGTGTATTTCCTGCGAGACGAGTGAGTGGGGTTTCTCTGAGAACAGTAGATTAGATGATGGTTCCTTGGAATTTTAGAAGGCGCGAGGCCAGTAATCCTCTGCCGCAGGGCATTACTGAACGCCTTCTTCGTCACCGTACGTTGAGGAAACGCATGCCAATCTGAGGGCATAAAAACAGTAAGTATGCAGTGTGTACAATGTAAACAACAAGACAATGTTCATTTACTGTAGATGTATACATCACATCATTAGGGCATGAGTCCATGTGTGCTTTTTCTGAGCACCCAGTGTCTTTTTCAAATGTTTCCAATGAGGATATGTGGTTGTATACACTGCACAAATAATTGTATCTCTGAGTTCCTAAACCATTTTTGTGACAGCGCTTGTAGTTGAATATCTAAATTCTTCAAAGAACAGCTGGTGACAGTACAAATTGGAGTAGAAGCCTGTTCTGCATGTATCTGCCGGTGAGTTTTACTTTTATCGCAGAACACGGATCGTCTTTCTCGTCCTTCAGCTTTCAGACTGAGCGGTGACAAACTCATTCATCCAAAGTTTGAGAGAAATCGTTTTTCGGTTGGCGAAATTCAATGTCCAACAACTATATAATTGCTCAAATAGATGGATGAAGGGAAAGGGGCGAGGATAGTCCGTTTTTTACAAAAGTGGTGATATGTTGTCAAGATATCCTTGTCATGGAAAGTGAATGTTTTTTTAATGAAAAGCTGGGATGAGGCTCTGCAGAGCACCTTTCTGCCAGAAAGAAACACTATGTGGACACAGTGCCTTAGAAGTACATGCAGTGAGAAAACACTTCTAACACTGTGAGTCTGAATGTATCAGACCACTCTGATCTCTCTGCTTTAATTAGCCACATGATTTTTAGAGAGCTTAGATGTCCCAGTCTTCTAAAAAAAACTCTTCTTCTGTTTCTACAGCTGTTGCTAGACAACTGTTCCTACTTGTTGGAAAGACAATATTGAACGTTGTTACATAGTGCATAAAGCAGTGAACATGTAATTGTATCACTTGCAAGCAGTCAAATGGGGATAATGCAAACTGATTCGTGCAGTTATAAGAAAATAACACACAACCTAAACAATGTTTGTACCAATGCTGCGTCATCAGTGACTTACATGTGTTTACAAAAGATGCAATTCTACATCTGACCATGGGGCCTTTACTGATATGTTATTTTTCTTTTAAATACAAATAAATCCTATATGTGTTATCATAAGTGCCCAATTGATACAAAATGGTGTCCCATTTCTTTTAAGGTCTCTAAGCAAGATGCACTAGAATCTAGATCCAAAGCAACACATTATTGTCTTTAGAATAAAACATTGAGATTACATCCAGTTGGACTGCTACCCGTTTAAACAGACACATTTCCCAGTAGGCAGGTTTTAGTTTTGAAACACCTGTTAGGAGTCCTTTAAATATAAGAGGTATAATTGGTTAAATTCAGTGGATCCACATCAGTGCACATGGATCTTGTTCTAATCAGCACACGGAACTTTACTTTTTTGTTTCTAGGCCCAGTTTTCATTCTGTTATCTTTAACCAGCCCTAAATGAACAGACGCTTGTTATACTCACTCGTCCGTTGGCCTCTCCCTTCCACCAGCCCTGGTCTCCTCCGATCTTGCTGTAGATTTTCACGATGTCTCCTTCCCGCAGAGAAAGCTCTCTCATGTCTCTCGCTGCAAAATTATACCTGGCCACCGCTGAGCTGACCACCCGAGGAGTGAACACTGCAAGAGGAAACAACGGGGGGCTCAGTCTTCTCACATTGTTAGTAATTGACAAGTGTGAAAGGTGAAACTAGACATAGTGGTTATCATTAGTTGTGAAGGATGATGGTCGTTTCTGTGTTCAGCGTGACACAACGCATCCACACAAAGACAAATGAGCTCCATGGGAAAGGACAAGTTGTTTCATCACTGGAGAGGAAATTGCTTTTCTTCTCGTGATTTAATGAGGGAGTGTGATCACAATAAGATTCTTGGTGATGAAAAGAGTGCCACGGAGAACAAGTAATGAGGTCGACAGCACGGACACTTATTATGAAATAACAGTGGGTGAGGTGCAGGGGGATAAGCGGAAGGAGCATGAAAAGAAAGAAGAGACATATGAGTACCTGACCAAAAGGGAGCTGAGCTCTGAGAGGAGAAGTTGAGGCCCTGCGGACTGAGGAAGGAGAAGTTGTAGGAGGCGCAGGTGGCTGCTGGGAGAAGAAGAAGAAACACAGAGGAGGAAATAAAGCTGGAAATGCAGAGCAGGAGTCAGAGAAGCAAAACTAAAAAGAAGCACATTGAAGTTGTCTGCCTGGAAAATAGGGTAATCATTCTTTAATCTTGTCATGATTTGAATACTTTAGTGGTCTCCCTGAAAACAACAATTAAAAAAACAATGTGAGTTCATGCACTGATGTAAGGGACTTTCCTGTGACATACAGTCAGACTGAATGGGTAAACAAACATTTTCCTTTCTCCTTTACCTATTATTGTTCAGAATCTGGCAAAGTTACCAACAGACAACAAGACTGTGTGACTTTTAATATGTGAAACAGGAATTACAATGTGACACCATCTGCTCTTTGTAGCACATTTCTGCTGCTGAACTTTCACACAACTCGTCGTACAGGCTCCCAGACAACACTTGTCTGGACTCCATTACCAGATTGTCAGTGGATAAGGGTGTGGAGAGCACAGCTTTTAAAAGGTAATAAGAGAAGCATCCCAATCCCACTGTTGCCATGCACACCTGCCACCACGACAATACACAAAAATGTGTGCTTGAGAGCACATTAGCAGCTGGGAAGACTCAATTGTCTCATTTCCAAATGCAGCCAACAACTGGAGGGAGACAATCTGTCTGTGGTGGCCAGTTCCTCCAGTGGATCAGAGAGCTGCAGGACAGAAGCCAGTATTGATACGGCCTAATGGCTGCCAACTCACAGCCACAGGCCACTTCCTCTTTGTTTCCTGCTTTTTATCTATTTCACACTGCTGGTCTCTCTTTCGGCCCTATTCCCCTGGGGGCTCCCTCCAATCCTCTCTGTGAGTCACTGGCCAGTGTGTCTCATTTATTCTAGCCTCCCTAGCTAGGTGTACCCACAGCAAAGATGGCAAGGGAATACATCTGTAAAATGGACACAGTCAAATTAGTTCTCATAATCATTCATAGAAGCAGGGAGGTATACATGTCGCTACCCCAAATGTCCATTTATCCAAAGAAGTTTGTACAACTTAGCCATGCCCTTCAGCTGTTCCTGATGTATCCAAGGTGTTCCCAGGTCAGACATGAGAGGGGATATGAGCCTGCCGAATGGCCTTCTCCTAGCTCCATGTGTTTTGCATAGTGCCAAAGGGATGTGTCCAGGAGTCATCTGCATGAGATGTCCAAACCAGATGTCTGGCACCTCACCCTGTCTTTAGAGAAGAGCTCAAACACTGCTATTTATGATCTGGTTTGAGCCTTGCCTAAAGCTCATGACCATAGAGGAGGGTTCTCGTGAAACACATTCCTGCACACGGTGCCACACGATCCCCCAGCTGGTGGTAACATGCTACGATATGCTGCAATGTGTTAGCAAAGACAGAAAGGACGATGACAACATCTAACATGGATCTACCAATCTAATTCCAGTGTTACATTTAAATCTGTATTTGTGTAAGTGACGTGTAAGGCATGACCTCAACTTTGCTTTTCAAACTTTGTAAAGCAATGCAACAAAACAATACATACATAAATAAGGGTATCCGACTACTGATTGTAAACAATACCTGATCCAGATATTTGAGCGTTCATCTGTATGGGTACATCTATACAGGGATATAAACAATGTTAGAATTAAAATGCTATTCTACTAAATGCTGGGTAAAGAAAACATACATTTAATTTATTATTAACATTTTAACTGTATACCCCGGTTATCTAGGCATCTTATTTTGTTTAATGTATACCACGTTTATCTAGGCCCTTTTTGTTTTTTTGTTTGATGTATATATGTCACACTGTAGGACTGCGAGAAACGATATTTCTGGATGTACAACATGTAGAATTCTTGACAATAAAGATGACTTTGACTTGACTTTGACATTTGAGTTAGCAACAAAACAAAAAAAACTGTTACCAATCAAAATTGTTATGATATAAAAAATCTCACTATGTATAAAAATTGCGCAAAAATAGGCAGTATGCCCTGCTCTGAAATGCTTGGGGCATGTCAAGTAATACCGCACGAGTGCCTGACTGCAGGGGGTCTCTTGCAGAATGTGCACACCACAGGCTCTTCTAAACTTTCAAAATGAAATCGGTCCAAACTAATCATGTTGAAAAAAGTATATTCTGATAGTGGCTCAGGCTAGCTTCTGGAGAGCAGGACCGTTCAGAGGGCTTACCTGGTGAGCGTGTGCTGGCCCGTGTTAGCGAGCGTTCTCTCGACTTGTACGGGTATCGCAGGGTGGTGTCTAACAACTTAAAGCTCTCTTTCAGTGAATGTGCCTGATAGTACTCCACCAGCTCCTGTTATAACAAACAGCACAGAAAAAATGTTGTTATTATCTCACACTGATATGAAGCTACTGTAGGTATTTGGGTTTCTAGTAAAACATACCAAAAGACTCTCAAACTTCTTGGCCTCAGTGATGTGAATCCAGCTGTCTTTTTCAATGACTTTGATGTGTTTTACTTCATCGTTGAATCTGTAAAAGAAGAAATCATTTTTACATCTTAATCATTGGATTCAGCTCGATACTCAAATCAAATCATACTTTATTTATATAGCACTTTTCTTTCACTAATGTAACGTAAAGTGCTTTACAAACCAAAGATCAATACAAAACAACCATCCCCTTCACAGTTAATATATGACACATGACTGATCATAATGTGATTGATAATAACACTTAAAACCAACAGAATTCAATAAAACACATGCCTGAATAAAACCAGCATAACAAATACATAAGAATACAATAAAATAATTAAAATAAGAATACAAATTATTATAAAATAAGAAAGAAATAAGGAAATAAATAAGAATACAATTAAAAAATCATGAATACAATTCAATTAAAAGCCAAATTAAAAGATTGGGTCTTGAGTTGGCTCTTTGTGTTTTCACTATCTGAAAACACTCGGTGTGATTCTGATTCGTAATATTGTTCTTCCTCTCTCATGGACCTTGGGTGCTGCTGTCAACATGAAATTTAGTTTTGTTTACCTGAAGGACTGACAGACTTTACAAGTAATTTTCACAAACTGATTTCATTATCCGTCTCAAGGCTGGTCTCCCCAGCCCATTCGCACCTGTCTTAGAGACAAATGTGCTAAAGCATTCCTCTCAGTACATCAGTGTATGACAGCTCCAGTCAGAGCTCATGCATTTCTCTTCCTGATGCATTTTCTCAAAGGAAATACACACAAACAAACAGGATAAAAAAAAAGCAATTACCAAGCGGTAATTAGCTGCTCGGGAAAAAGCTGACTGGGGCATCCCGTGAGAATTTGTATTCCCCGTGAGATGTGAATAAAACAACTTCCCCTGAGTTTCTCGCTCTCCTGTCGCGATGTTGAACACTCACTTGATGCTGATGGCGAACCTCTCTGCCTCCGCCGTCCTCTCTCTGATAAGGTAGGTCCCGCTGCTGTGGGATTTTAAAAGGTTATCGGCCTGCTGGCGCTCCATGTTCCCCGCAAACCTACAGAGGAGCAGAGGATAAATGCTGTCACCTCAAACACAAAGTTATATACAATCAAACCACATACTGAAGGCTTAACAAATCCTTGACATCAAACAACGGTTCAGCAATTCATCTTTTGATTGCGGTCATGTTTGGGGTCACTTTGCTTTAATTTGAAAAAGTGCAAAAACATTACAAGTGTTGGCGTGAACATATCTGGCGTAATTAGAGATAGTGACCTTGGGCTATTTGTATAGTGTACATCGTGATAGATCCACACTCTTCACACATTAAGGGTCTTACCAAGGATATCCATAGTAGTCTGATTCCCTGGAGCACTGCCGGGTAGATAATGACTGGAACGGCTGGAATAAATAAACACCGCGTGTGTAAACATAACAATGAAATGGAGCAGAAGTAGATCACGTATACGTATGTCCCACATAGGTGGTTGAAGTGTACACTAAAGAGAAAGAAGAAAGCCCTCAAGACACTGTTATGATTCTTGAATAATGTATACATGCTGTACAAGCACTGCATATAGGTGGCTTACCTTTGGATCCAAACATGGTTTTACACAAGAACTGGGAAAGAAGCCGCTCTTTAGTGTTTGTATCAGTTTTCCCTACAAGAAAAAAAGGCAGGGCGAGTTTCATCGTAAGGTATTTAAAAAACTCTAATAATGGAAAGTACTTTAGATCAATTATTTAAAGTGGACCTATCATGCTATATTTGAATAATATAGTGTAGGACCATACCTATATAAGGCATAATTATACTTTTTATTTTTCAAAATACCAAACAGATCATGCATTTTAGCCATTCCTCATTTCGCTCAATTTAGCACTGTCTTTGCATGGGCTGATTCTGTGAGAACAGCACCATCTACAGGCCTGGCATATGTACTACAGCGTCTCCAGCGCTTTCGAACGGCAATGTCCGTGGCTGTCTCCTCCTGATTGGTGGAGTTGGCCCAATAGCCGTAGCGCCACTTCTGTGACGTCATAGAAGTGTTCAAATCTGGATCAGTCTGTATCAGATCCGTTGCAGCCCCTTTTTAAGAGATTTGGGTATGGAGGAAAATAGAGAGGGTTGTGTTTTCTGACACTTGGTGAGTTCCCTGGAACACCGGGGACACATATTCATGTATAAAAGACGTACAAAAGTGCATTTTGCATGATAGGTCACCTTTAAGTAAAAGTGGTAATACTACGTTAGATATAATCTATTTCAAGTCCTGCATTCAAAAATAAAAGCGTAAAACATCACTTTAATGTCGCTACTGATATTTAGGATCCCTTTTATTATCTGACAATAATCTCCAAAGAAAGAGCTGTGGAATACCGGCAAAGCAGAAAGTTCAATATTTGTCTTTGTTGTTGGTGAAGAGGCATAAAGTTGTATACAATTTCCCTCATATTCATTATTAAAATTATGTACCGAAGGAAATGTACTGAGTTGCTTTTCACCACTTGTTCATAACTTTATTTATTGATATTCCTCATTGTCTGAGTGTCATGCAGACGTCTGACTGGAGCCTGAACCAGCCGCGGTGTGTTTGTGTCTCTTTGTCTCGGCTTCATTATCGTCTCTCTCTCTGGTCTGTCTCTGGAGTCTGACCCGTAGCTGTGCGGTCGGGCTGGGTGCCTGCCGGTCACCGGGGCTCCGCCACACTGTCTCACCCCCCTCTCACCCCCGCCTCACCCCCTGTCTCACCCCGACGGTGCTCTGCATGCTGGGAGACAGACAGGTGCCTGCAGCTCTGAAATATTAACTAAAACAACAGGTTTGGATCACTTTCTCAGCCGTTGTGTTAATCATCTCAAAGTTAGCAGTTAACTGTTCAGATTGTAATGCCTGTCAACATCACACGCACCCAGCTTGTATTTTAGTCAGAGGTCAAAGGAGACTTGCCTCAGATTCTTCAAATTGTTTAGACTCCAGAGACGTTTTTTTTTCGGAAAACACCAAGCTGACATTTTTTTATTTATCTCCTGTGGGAAATTGGATTTGTAACAGTTTCTCCATCTTAGAATAAAATTAAAATAAAATATGTTTAAATTAAATTAAATGACGTGTATATATTCAAAGTAACAAAGTAATGCTAATTACCATAGATATGCCAAAGAAACAACTTTTATTTGATTCACAAATAGTTAAAAATACAAGAAAAACCTTAAGAAACATGTAAAATGGGATACCTCGAATAAGCTATCAGAATTTTTGGAAAACAGAGTATTTAAAATATATAATTGGAGAGAGTTCATGTATCATACAGTAAGTTTTCAAGCTAAAACAATGTGTGTGATCATGCACAGTTGATTGATTGCACAGGTTATACAGCCTATAGTACGTTCATCTAATTATTTACATTGATCTCGTCATTTGACTATAGTCTCAGATATGTTTGTATTTTTTACATTATCTTTCATGCTCGTTGATTTGTGAAGCCCTCTGAGATAAATGTGTTTTGTGATATTGGGCTATATAAATACATCTGAATTGAATGGAATTGAATGATCTGGGCTTAGTAATAGAGTGTCTCATGTTACCACTAGAAGTACTCACCTAGTAAAAAGGGGTCTCCGTTCAAAAGCTTTCAAACAAATCAGCTCAGAGCAACTTCTACTAATGAAAGGAGAGTCCTGAGATAAGAGGAGAGATGGATGATCACAGGTCTCACCTCCACACTGATGGACTGACAGGAGACCAGGAGAGGAATGTGAGTACATGAACTCAATTATTTCTACTTTAATTGAGCTTTCTACTTCTACTTCACTCATAGACTCATATTGTACACTTTATATACAGCTTTAGTTCCTTCAGATGAAAGTCTCTCAGCCCCTTAAATTGTCACAGCACCAAGACAGAAAAAAACCTTTGTGGCCCAGTTGCGACATATTTTTAGGACACCAAACCCAAGAGACTTTTTACAAAACATTTCTAAGTTTGGCCAAAAAGAACAAAAGGATGAGGGAAGTCTAGACCAGCCACACCAGGGCCCCAGACCAAAGAGGAACAGGGCCCAGAATTAACTAAGAAAAACCCAATCTATGGATGACATTGACTCAGCGCCACAAAGTCAGGCAGCGAAACAAAAGCCTTCCTTAAAGTGGACCTATTATGCTATATTTGAAAAATATATTGTAGGGCCACACCTATATAAAACATGTCAAAATCCCAAACAGTTCACCCATTGTAGTCATCCCTCATACTGCTCAAACCCCTCTTTTGAAGCCCTGTTAGAGAAACGCAGATTTTGGGTCCTTAGCTTGAAAATAAAAAAGAAGAGGAGGCGGAGCTAATGCCTGATCAGAATTCTACCGGAGATAAAGTTAAATTTGGTTGTGATAAAATGCCATCCTGTTCTAAACCACATCAAGGATTATTTCTGAAACAGTATGGAGCTCAAATGCTTTTTCTCTTGCGGGTTTATCACAAGGTGAGTTCTTTTTTTATTTCCTGCTTTTTAAACACATGTGCTCTTCAGTACAGGTTAGCTCTGAGTGTTAGCGACGCTTGCTAATGTAAACAAAAACGAGATTACGACCAAAACACGTCAGGCATTGTTTCTGATAGCAACTTTCTGTGGGTCCGCTGCCGATTTGACGTCAGTTCGGATGGAATCTGTATCTGCTCGTTGTACA